TTATATGTTGAGAGTATTTTTGTCTCCACCAATGTCAATTGTTATCCTTTGAAGGCAGTATCACACCCACTGAGAATATACATACCATGGTTATGTAAGATAACATCATTAGGGAAAGGGAAGAAGGTAGATACATGGAAACCGCATGATTTTGCAGTTTCCTATTATTATTATATTATTACAAAATAAAGTTATAATAAAAAAGTGAAAAAATGTATAAGGAAGCACAAAGGACACAGAATAGCCAAAACAACACTAAAACAGAAGAACAAATTTAGATGCTATGGAACAACTACCTGATTACAAGTCATACTATAAAGCCACAGAAGTCAAGACAATGTAGTGTTGGCATAATTCAGGTAACCAAAAAGAGCAATGTAACAAAAGAGAACAAAAGAATCCAGAAATATTTCCTTGTATATACAACAAATTTATTGACAAATGAACCAAGGCTAGTTTATGAAGAAATAAAAGTATTTTCGACAAATGGTGGCAGAACCATATTAACATGAAAAAAAAAAAAGTTAAACCCTTTGACCATCTACTTCACAGTAACCACAAAAATTAATTGGCCATGGATCATAAGTCTAATGTAAAAACTAAAACTATTAAACAAAAAAGACCCTTCAATTCCTCGGAGTAGACAGTTTCTTAAAGAGGGCATAAGGCAGTAAAAATAAAGTATACAAATTATCAATTTGACTTCACTAATATGAAATCATTTGTTTATCAAAAGACACAAGAAAATTTTGAAAAGGCATGCTACAGACCAGGAGGAACAATTTACTTCATATATATATATATATATATATACACATATGTAATATAAAAATAAATAAAACAAAGGACTTGAGTCCAGAATATATCAAGAACCCCTACCTATCAATAATAAAAACTCAATAAAAGATGGGCAAAAGGCTTGAACTGACACATCACAAAAGATGATATGCAAATTGTAAATACATATATAAAAAGGTGCTCAAAATCATTAATCATTAAGAGACTGCAAATGAAAGCCCTTGTATCATTTTGAATGCAAGAGAATGACTAAAACTAAAAACAATGACAACATCAACACTGGAGAGAATGTGGAGCATCTGTAACTTTTATATCTTGCTGGTGGGACTGTGCAATGATACATTTCTCTGGAAAACTGCTGAGTTATAAAGTTAAATATGTTCCACTCTTAGGTATTCACTTATGCAAGATAAATGAAGATATAAGTCCTGGCTCACATCTGTAATCCCAGCACTTTGGGAGGCCAAGGCGGGTGGATCACAAGGTCAAGAGATAGAGACCATCCTGGCCAACATGGTGACACCCCATCCCTACTAAAAATACAAAAATTAGCTGGGTGTGGTGGCGTGTGCCTGAAGTCCCAGCCATTTGGGAGGCTGAGGCAGGAAAATCACTTGAACCCAGGAGGCGGAGGTTGCAGCAAGCCGAGGTCGCATCACTGCACTCCAGCCTGGCAACAGAGCGAGACTCAAAGTCAAAAAAAAAAGAAAATATAAGTCTAGAAAACAACTTGTACAAGTCTATTTACGGAAGCATTATTCAGAATAGCCAAAAATTACTTAGCAATAAAAAACAATGATACTATTGGTATACCATTACTATCAGTAGGGTGGGTGATCTATCCTAGGTGAATCTCAAAAACATCTGAGCAAAAGAAAGCAGACACAGGAGTATATACTGCCATGATTCAAGAACATGCAAAGTTAATCTATGGTGATAAAAATTACAACAGTGCTTATTTATGGGAGCTGAAAAGGTACTCTCTGAAAAATGTCTTCATTAGGGAATATACATTTATGAAAACTCATTTAAGATCTGTAAATTTCACTGTATATTTTACCTCAATTTAAAATAGATTAGCTTTAAAAATTACAGAAATCTGCACTCACAGTGGAAGATTTCAACCCATAACTATTAGAAATTAGGTTACTAAGCAGACAAAAAGATTCATAACTTTCTCTTTAAAGTTACTGTTCATCTTTCATTAGATTTCTATTGGTAAATGTGTCTTTCCATAAATAACCTGTTGTAATTATTTACTGCTAGTGTTTAGGTTCAACTGATTTTTTATGTTGTCCTTATAATCAATACAATTTTAATAATTTGACAACAGATTCTTTTCCAATTTCTATGTAGACAATCACAGAAACAGTTTTGCATCCTCTTTCTTAATTCTTGCTGGCTACATCCTTTAGAAAAGTGGTTAAGTAGTAACTAGCAAGACCTCTGTCTCGGATGCTCAAATTGTGTTTAAAATCTTTTCAGTTGTCACTATGCCGGTGTTTGCTTATGACTTGCCTCCCTTATGTTTGCATTGTTTAGGTGTTAAAGTTGTATTATTTAAACAATAAATTAGGGACCTTCCTCTCCCTTTATATTATCTAGAACATTGTGTATAAAACAAAGATTATTCTCAGTTCCTTGAAAGTTTGTTAAAAACCACCTGTGATGGTCAGTTTTATGGGTCAGTTTGGCTGGGTTATAGTCCCCAGTTATTCATGCAAACATTAATTCAGGTGATGCTGTGAAGGTATTTTGCACATATATGCATATATATGTGTGTGTATATATATATACATGTTAAGATATATATGTTTTTTCCACCTACTGATTATTTCCATGGTGGAATCCTAACCGATACACAACCTATCAGGGCCTGCGTTTGGGGTTATGTATGTGTGTATGTGTAAGACACACAGGCACAAAGATAATTTTAACTTTTGTTTCAATTTTGTAAGGGCTTTTTACTTTAGAGTCGGCTGAAGTTTTAGCAAGATTATATTTCTCAATGACACTATCTATTTCACTTAAATTTTCAAACAAAAAAATGATATGAAGGGGTTCAAATAATTTTTTTTCTCTTTATGACACCTGTGGTTGTATTCTAATTTTCATTGCCTATATAAAGGTAGACAAACTATTTCTGTTAAGAACCAGAGTATAAATATTTTAAGCTTTGCAGGCTACATATCATCTCTGTCATGTATATGAGTATATATGTATTATATATATATGTGTGTGGATGTGTGTGTGTGTGTATATATATATATACATATATTTTTTTTTTTAAACAACCCTTCAAAAATGTTACTAACCGTTCCTAGCTTATAAGCCTTTCCAGATTTGGCCCATAGGCCTGAACTCTTCGCTATATCATTTATTTACACATTCTCTTTTTCCTTGGCTTTGCCAGAAGCCACTGGAAACAGGCCGGGCACAGTGGCTCACGCCTGTAATCCCAGCACTTTGGGAGGTTGAGGCGGGCGGATCACTTGAGGCCAGGAGTTCCAGACCAGCCTGGCCAATATGATGAAACCCTGTCTCTAGTGAAAAAAAACTACAAAAATCACCCGGGCGCGGTGGCACGCGTCTGCAGTCCCAGCTTCTCAGGAGGCTGAAGCAGGAGAATTGCTTGAACCCAGGAGGCGGAGGTTGCAGTGAGCCGAGATCATGCCACTGTGCTCCAGCCTAGGAGACAAGAGTGAGACTCTGTCTCAAAAAAAAGAGGAAACAAAACAAAGCACTGAGAAGGAACTGGAAGCACGGATGGAGAGAAAAGGACAAATTCAGAGGGAGTTCCTACAAGCCTGATGGTGCCTAAAGGGGCTGAGGGAACAGGATGATTCAAGGAGGACTCCTAGTTTTCTGGCTTCAAGTAAAAGGATATGACCATTTATTGAGCTAAGGAATACAAAAGAAGGATCAGGTAAGACAGACATTCAGTTGTGTACATGTTGAATTTGAAGGGACTGTGACACATCTTATAGAGTGGAAAGTTGATGCTTACTTACAGAGAAAAGAATAAAACTGAGACTATCCCTACAAATTCCTTTTTGCCTTGCCTACAGAATAAATCATAACTAGGCCTCAATAACTATTCAGTGTAATTACTAAACAGATTAGAAGATACTGGATTATACTGATCTATTTATGAAATCAATTTCAAACTGTTACTTTTTTTCATATATATAATTTTCATCTACACAACTTAGTCATAATGCATCCTGATGAATCTTCTCTTTGCTCTATAAATCTTTCAACTAGGTCTTAAATGACTAAGGCAATATTACTTTAAATCAATTCCTCGACTACAGACATAGATTTGTAATATCAAACCATTTTTCCAAAAATAAATTATAATAAAAATTTACCTACATTATGAATTCTAAGATATAATATTCCTATCAAACACATTTTTAAAACGTGTCAAGTTTTAAAACTTGATGGTTTGTCAAGGCATCTGATCATTCTTCTAAAACTTCCTAGGGCAAATAAATAATTCCAGAATTGTATTAATATTGATTTCAAATTTTCCAAATTCTTGGTATTAAATCAGAAATGACAGTATTAAAAATATGAAAATTCTACTAAAGATTTTCCTACTTGATAGCATACCAGCCACTAAATATCAATGATTTATTAATTATAATTTTTGAAAAAGTTACCTTCAACATCACAAATATTATAGATATGGCAATTTTTATTCACAATATTACAAAGTGATTCTCTTAATCTCAATCTGGTGTATATATGTTATACATTTGTTCAGAGGTTGAAAAACTAAAAATTAAATTTTGAAATTTTGCTACTGTATAGTCACATAAATTTATACTGAATTAATGAATCAGGATAACACCACCAGGGAAAATTTCCAAAGCTCTATGTTCTCAACATTCTATCATCACCTGGAAGTCAATTTTCACCTTTTTCACTGGCTGAATTTGTTAGCTCATATTTTGCTTTGGGGCTCATGTGTTCTTGCAATATGGCAGTACTAGATTACAAGGCTACTGACAACAGCACTTGCTATGAATCCACAAAGACAACAGTGAAGCAAATCAGAATATTACAGAGTCTTTAATAGGAAAGAATGTGATATATGAAGGGCAAGCTATGCCCTTTCAATAATGAAAACATTCTAATTTAACTAATTTGATACTTAGGTAATGCCACTTTTTAAAAAATTTACTAGTTACACTTACTTGTTCTTGAAGACAGTTTGGTGCTACCGTTTACTCTGTAGGAAAAACATGAAAAATGCTTGTAATAAACTTGCAACAATGTTCTCATTAGCAGTAGTTTCTATATTTGGGTCCCTCTTGTTTGTTTAGCTTTTTGGGGGGAGTATTTTTGGGGTTTTTTGGGGTTTTGTTTTTGTTTTTTGAGACACAGTACTACTCTGCCACCCAGGACAGGGCGCAATGGCGTGATCACAGCTCACTGCGGCTTCTGCCTCCCAGGTTTAAGTGATCCTCCTATCTCAGCCTCCCAAGTAGTTGGAAACACAGGCACACATCAATACATCAAGCTAATTTTTTTCTGTGTATTTTATAGAGATGGGATCTCACTATGTTTCCCAGGCTGGTCTCAAACTCCTGGACTCAAGTGATCCACCCACTTCAGCCTCCCAAATGCTGGGATTACAGAAGTGAGCTACCACCTCCTACTGGCCCCTCTTCTTTACTAGCTATGAAGAGCTTCAAAAGGCAGAGCCCCAGGAAGAAGGCATGATGTACAATATAATGAGACCAGAGTTCTCAATTGTTAGTTCTCACTAAGTGCTTCACACCAGGAATCTAGGCAGACACCAGTTTGCTTCAACAGCACAAAGATATGTATGCTCATGACCAGATATTCCTCTTGCCAGTGTGTTCATACCTTCTTGCTATAATGACAGAGTAAAATGAGGAAGGGTAAAGGAAGTGACATCTTAGAATAGGAAAATTCACCTTCTTCCCTTCAAGCCATACTTGAACTGACAAAACAAAAACAAAAAGGGAAATCAAGAGTAGGGGAGATGTTTTTTCCCCCACAATGCTCCGGCCTGTCTATGTCTGTGAAACCTGGAGATGAGGGCAATGAATATAAAGTCTTCATAACAGTTCTCGCAGGTATTTTGATTTCATTTTGCAGATAAAGAAGTAGAGGCTCACAGAGGTGAAATGAACCAAGCCTCTAATAAAGTGCCAATGCCAAGATCATGTAACCTAGGTTCTATACCTTCAATGACGCCACCATGCACATCGAGTGGTGGCCTTAGGACACTTAAGCAAACAAGGCTAAGTGAGCTTCCACCGTTATGCTGAAGCAGGGAAACAACCCTTAGACAGTAAGTTTGTGATTCAGAAGCACCACTTGAATAAGCAATATTCAAAAACTCATAGTTCTCAATTTTTTATCAGAAAGTAAAATCAAAGGGAATTCTGATTCTGCTTCCTACCATGGGAAAAAAAAATGTTTTAAAGCAAGAGGAGCAATTTGTCAGTTGGTTGAAAAACACATTTAAAGGGAATAAACATCAAATATTAGGTCAGCCACTAACAATCTAATTTTGTATAAGCTCAAACACTTACAAAATACGGAAAGTACATCAGTGAGGTAGATGTGCCTATTTCTGCTTAGCTTCTGGGTCAGGTACCACCCATATCCCACAATAGTATGCTTCATCTGAGCTTCTCTGTCCTATCAGCTTTCACTGTTAATTAACCACCTTGTTCACACTAGATGTGCCCATTTCCCAATAGCACCTATTTCTTGGACCTCAGATTCTGCAGATTGCTAGGTGTGAAAACTTCCTCTTCCACCCACACTGCTTTAACCAAGAAGAGGCCAGAAAGGGACAACATATTTAAAAGTATACCAAAGCAGGAAATTAACTTATGCAATAAGACATGCCAATTTTAGAACTGTGTTACAACCGCCATTGTGGCTATAATTTCTTAAATGAACAAGTTTCACATTTACTTTATTTGGTAAAACTTCAAGACTGTCTTTGCCTCTACAAGCACAATTTCCCACTGATATCCGGTAGAAAATCAGCAGTGTTATGGGACAGGAGCAGACATTTGACAAAGTAATAAATGACAGCATACCTGTGGCCTTCTTAGCAATACATTGCCTGATTTACTTTTTTTTCTCATACAAATCTAGAAGACTGTGTAATATTCTCAACACTATGAATGTTCCTCAAGCCTCTGTCCACCCTGTTACTACTGGTTCTTCTTTTATCTTACAATATTTCATAGAATTCCTATAAAGAAAATATAATACTGTGATAATGGGATAGGAGAATTATTTTCATATTGAAGGGTTTTTCACTTTAATTTCAAAGACTCAGCCTCTGCTCAAATCACATCATCTTTCTTGGTATGGCTTCAGAGCTAATCTGAAGTAAACATGAAAACCAGTTCCATAATATAACTGTTTTGGGGTGGGAGCAATATGGTTTGCCCCCACCAAATCTCATGTTGAAATTTGATCTCCAGTGTGGCAGTGTAAGGAGGTGGCGCCCAGTGGGATGTGTTTGGGTCATGAGGGCAGACATCTCATGAATGACTTTGTGCCCTTCTAGCAGTAAGGAATTCCTGCTCTTGCTAGAGTGGACTAGTTCTTCAGAGTGGGCTGGTTCTCAGAGAAACTGACTAGTTCCCAAGAGACTGGGTTGTTGTAAAAGTCAGTATGCCTCTCACGTTTGGTCCCTCTCCACACATGCTCACTTCCTCTTTGGTCTTTTCTGCCATGTTCTGACACAGCATAAATGCTCTCATCAGAAGCCAAGCAGATGCCATGCTTCCTGTATAGCTTGCAGAACTGTGAGCTAAATACACCCCTTTCTTTACAAATTACTCATCCTAAGGTATTCCTTTATAGCAACACAAAACACACCAAGACAAGGGAAGAGGCAGCATTTCCCAGGATGATCATCTATCACCTTCACCAGACTGTCTCTGGTTAAACTTTGGCTGAAATTCAAATTAACTTTCAGAACAAAGATTTGCCAAAATGAGGGTATTAAGATGAGTGTACTGAAGAATCTGGAAGGAAATCTTAAAGGGGTTTCAAAAATATCCTGAACAATGGTAACAATATTACAAGTACACACACTTTCAAGGTAATATCTGCACTTAATCCTCCTGGGGCAATCCCACAAGGTTCCACCTTTAAAGATGGTGTTTATGATACTGAATTCTCAGTGCTCCTCTCCATCTCCAACTTTCTACATTTTCAGCTATCTACTGGTGGTTTCTAAGTCCTACCAGCATCTCAATTCCAACTTAAATTTTCTACAATGTAAACCCTCATTTTGCCAACCTAGTGGTTATTTTACCCTTCTTACCTGAAAAATCAGCTTACAGCTATATAGTACACAGAAGCAACACGATAGTATTTACAGAAAGAAGAAAAGGGTGGTGGATGGAACTGGTTTACAAACATCATCTCATTTAGAAGCAGGTATAAAGAAACTAAGACTCAGAAAGCTCAAAGCAATCGTGCATTACCCAGCAAGTAACAGGTGAAGCCAAACTCTAGTTCAATCTCAGTCTTTATTTTCCATCTTCTACCTCTTATTTTTTGTTATCAAAGTTTACTTATTTAAAACTCAATTCAACATTTCTCCATCCCAAAGTTCTTCCTGACCTCAGCACTAAAATGTGATTTCTCCTTTCTCTAACCCCAAGATTTTGCCTGCACTTGTTCTGTTGCTATAACCACACCTGGACTTAAACACATCATATCACACTATATATGCAATCTTCTCCTGCTAGATCACTGGTTGGCGTGAATTGAATTGTGTTTACCATTCTCCAAATTCATATGTTGAATCCCTAACCTCCAATGTGACTGTATCTGGAGACAGTGCTTTTGAGAGGTAATTAAGGTCAAATGAAGTCATAAAGGTGAGGCCTTAATTCGATAGGATTAGTGGCCTCATAAGAGGCAGAGGGCTCTCTCTTCTTCTCCCTCTCTCCTCCTCCTCCTCCAACCTCCTCTTCCCCCATCCCTCCCCACTCACCACCATGTAAACACACAGGGAGAAGGCAGCCTTCTGCAAGTCAGGAAAAGAGTCCTTGCCAGCAACCAAATCTGCCTGCACCTTGGTCTTGAATTTCCTAGTCTCTAGAATAGTAAAAAAATTAATGTACATTTTTTAAGCCACCCAGTCTATGTTGTGTGGGTCAGTCAGTCAGTCTACGAGATTTTATTATGGCAGCCTGAGTAGACTAAGAAAGATTTCAGTACTAGAAGCTCTCACCCTTGGCTGTACCAAAGAACCACCTGAGAGGACTGTACAAAATTCTTAATGCTTGGGCCCCACCCCAGACCAGTTAAATCAGAAATGCTGGGGTAAAAGCCAGGAATTGATATTTTTAAGGCTCCCCAAATAATTATAATATGCAGCTAGACTGAGAACTACTGCGAGTAACAGTTAAGTTTAATGAGGTCAGAGACCATGTCTAACTCATCTTTGTAATTCCCTCTAACTCCTAGCATATGGTAAATATGCAATAAAATTGTTTTAATGCTTAACAAATGACACATATATTTAAAAGACTTTTAGTATTTGATAGTTACGGATATACTGTAAACAAATACATATGTACCTATTATGTACCAATCACCACACCAGGAATTGTGTATACAATAATGAATCAGTCAAGCAAGGTTCCTTATTCTGCAGCATAAACATGTGACACTCTACATTCCAATTAGTCATGTTTAGGTAATTAACGTATCTTTTGATCTGTAAGAATCTCCCTGTAACAGTTCTTTAGCAGAACACAATGCAGGATGGTAAACACCACATTCTTAACAATTTTTTCCTTCAATCTTCTTACTTAAAAATGCAAAAATAGGCTGGGCGCAGTGGCTCACGCCTGTAATCCCAGCACTTTGGGAGGCCAAGGCAGGTGGATCATGAGAGGAGATCAAGACCATCCTGGCTAACACAGTGAAAGCCTGTCTCTACTAAAAATACAAAAAAAAATTAGCCAGGCATGGTGGCAGACACCTGTAGTCCCAGCTACTTGGGAGGCTGAGGCAGGAGAATGACGTGAACCCAAGAGGCGGAGCTTGCAGTGAGCCAAGATCTAGCCACAGCACTCCAGCCTGGGCAACAGAGTAAGACTCTGTCTCAAAAAAAAGAAAAAACACAAAAAACAGAATAGGAGATTGTGGGGGAGAATGTTAACTTGGGTATCAATAGTTTTATTTAGGTACAATTTTGTTTGGTCTACT